TTTAGTTCACATTCTATCGTTGTACTGGTGTTGGTACTTTCATTGTCTTCATAACTATATTTTCTTTCACACAATTCGGATATTTAATTCAAATCCAAAATTTTCAACAGTCAACTAAAATGGGAAATTGAAAATTTTTATCGTTCCAATTATTATGGGAAATTATTAATCTAATTTGATCGAACGTAAAGGAAATTCAACCAATTTGGTTTCTCGAACTAATAGCAAAATATTTAAAATTGAATATCTGGACTTTTTTTCCAAAATAAAATCAGCAGTATTAGAAAATTGTATGACAATTCAAAATTTTACAAACATTAAAATCATGTTACCAGCTATAAAAGAAGCCTCAATCTTTGGCGATTATTAGTAAATACATGAAATGTATTTAGAACAGTTTACACATTTATTTTTACCTTATGATATCTGGTAGTCACAACGGGCTCCGACTAATCCAGATTCGAGCTGAGTAGGACCACAAGGGCGGCAAATCTCTCTTTACCGAGTATTTAACAGACTGCATTCCCAAGCCGAGGACCTTGGTTAAGCTAGTCTCTTACCGGTCGGCGAACTATGCGCTTGGTAACAATGTCATTACTTGACATTTTTTTTTCCACACATTTTTTGCAAATCATATAGTAGCACTCTTGACATTCGAATACGGGATCATCATCAGAAAGCTCATTACAACGGCAACACGTGACCTGCTTCGTTGCATTGCGTAGAAACTTGAGAGGGTGTGGGTGATCTTCAAACTCAAGGATGCCCCCAAACTTGACATTTCGATATGGATGCTGAATACATCTAGGATCAAAAGATTGATCACATTTCTGACAATGATAGATCCAATATCTTGTATTTATTTCATTCTCGCAAAATTCACAATGGAACTCATCGAGATGGTCAAAGAAAGGAGGATAGCTAAGAACGAGGGGATGTCTATCCCATCTATGCTCGACGGTTGGAGGGAGCAAAACACAATCATAGCATAGCTGGAATTTGCAAGAATGACATCTGAATGCGCGATAATAACCGTACCCACAAGCATTGCAACGATCGGGCCACCAACTTTCACGTAGGGAGCGCTTGTGAGCTTAATGTACAATAGAGGTGGGCAGGAGAGCACATTTAACATCAATGGAGAGTTCACACCTGTCACACTTGTAGAAGAAACCGTTGTTGCATGACTTGCAAGCGTCGCAACCGGTGAGTGGATAGAATTGATCACTAGACTTTGACAGCTGGATCGGGTGGCTGTGAATTGGGGATTGTATCTCTCTTGGTAAGTTGACACAATTTAAGTGGAGAAAGTAATCGCATTGTACACAACAATAAAATGGATGTGCAATTAGTTGCACGCAACTGTCACATAATGTTGTGTTATCGCTCATCTCGTTGTTATTTTTCATATTGAAAAGTATGAGCGGATGCTCATAACTCCAATGTTGGATCTTTGGTTCGCACTTAATCTTTTCAAGGCAGAGATGTTCAACTAAACATTTCGTCGGCAAGTGTAGTACATCAGGATCGCCGTCTTTATGATCCAAATCACTATATATGTATATATTAGTTACTTACCAATAAAAAAACATTAGTTTTTGTTTTTTTTTTAGGGGGGAGGGGGGAGGATGGATAGACTCACCTCAAAGGTGTTGTTGAAGATGAAGTTGAGCACTTCACATGAATACAACATCTGCATAGGGCACAACAATAAGCCCAAGAATTTAAATTAATGACTTCACCACATATATAACAGTCTTGTTCATCTATTCGGGTTAACTCAATCAACCGCATGAGAATGAGAGAGTGATGGTGATAAGTATGGTTGATGGTATTAGGTAACAAAGCACAACTCTTATGCATCCAGAATTGACAGATCCCACATAAATAGGATGAATCTGTGTGTTTCGTGTCACAAATATTGCAAAAGCAAGAGGTTGGCCTTAGTAGGAGGGCTAATGGGTGCTCGTGACTTTTATGTGTAATGATACGGTCTGCTATGTAACATGGTATGCAAATATTAAATTCGCAAAACACACATGTAGCCGAATCCTTTCCAAACATGTCCACAAAAATCACATCCCAAATGACTGAAATGAGTATCAGTAGCAAGGAACTGTAGATTGTGTCGGTGTATGGAGTCTTTAATCCATTGTCGGAGTTCCGCACATCTTTTGTGCAGAAAATAATCACATTGAGAACAGCTATATGCAGGGTCTAAGATCTGTTTCTCACACATTTTGCAGATAACTTTGTGGCTTTCATCCTTTTGTATTTCCTTGAGGACCAATGGATGGTCATGGCTGAAACGTGTCAGTTCTTTCATCTACATGTGTGTTTGTATGAGAGAGAGAGAGAGAGAGAGGTACTAGGCCTCCGAAATTGTGAGGAGAGATTAATATGTACATAAAATCTTGAAGCGGATATGTCAGACTCATATAGGTTCTTGGTCCTAAATTTTGAGTAAGGCATCTAATTATATATGATTATGTATTTTTGACTATGTGTAGGGAGGGATTAAGAATAAGTACAACCAAAGAAAGGAATGAGTACTTGAACATAACTTGAAAAACACAAGAGGTTTCATGTTGGTAGATGAGAAAGATGGGGAGGGGGTGGAATTTAATCAATTTATATTACATTTAGAAGGAAGAAGATAGAAGCAATAAATGATTGGCGAAGATGATTTCTCAACTCAATTCCATAAATTTTTTATTTAATCTAACCATTTGGAGTCCACTTGTCTACAACGATAATTTGCCAATGAGAAAAATGGAAAAAAATAGTATTAGAGGTATATCATTTTGGTTTGTTTTAGGTTACCCGTTACTATTAATTAAGTATATCGAATTCAAGTTGACTAATAAATAACTCGAATTAGAAATGATATAACCCAAACATGGTACCACTCGATTTGACAAACCCATACTCGTGCTCCTCAATTCACCTAAGGTGGGCAACTCTCTAATTCCGAGAGATGTCTAGATCATTTCCTATGTAATCCTAATCATAATGTAATTCGCTCCACCTTTGTTTTTAATAAGAAAAATCTTAAATTAGATAGGAGGTTGGTTTGATTGTAAGAGAAGACATTGCTAGTCTAAAATTTCTTTGCAATTTTAGGAAGACACTTTTGAGGGCATCTGGCTTGCTTCCATATTAGGTCAAGTGATTCTTTCCTTTAATTTCTTTGCCTGTTTTAAAGCATTTCTCTCATTTTCAGTGCTTTTGCCTTTATCCCATCCCCCACTCAGAAGACATCTGTTATTTTATCCCCTAAAACATTAAAAATCTTTTATTACATCCTGATTTTTTTTAAATTTTAATAATGTGAGAATTCGAAGTTTTGAAAAAACTCAAGTTGTGGACACCAAAAAAAGCTCAAGTAATGTTATTTGAACGTAATTTACTAACTTAATTTCTTAACATAATCAATCATTAACATTGGATTGACAATTTGAGCCTCGATATTGATTTCGATGAACATTAATCAAATAACACTAACAGATTATATCAGTAAGTTACCTACAAATAATATTCTTATTTCGTTATTGCACTCTATACCTTGGAAAAGTGCTTCTTCCTAAAGGGTTAGCTTTGTTCCTATCTTGATTAGAAAGATAAGCATCACCTATAATGACCTTTTCCACAAGGTTTTTTCAAAATAGCCAAGACTGTTTCAGCCTTTATACTTATCTTTGTGAAAGAGGCCATGTTTGCTCAATTTTTTTTTTTTTGCTAATTAAAAAAAAGGTAGGGACAAAGAAGAACACCAAAAAATCACCTCAATAAACCCTCACTAGCGGAATCATGTTCAGCATATCACCAAGAATGTTGAGTGGAGTGTATAGACAATAACCATGTTGGAACCCAGGCACCAATAATATAGACCTAAACCTACTTGAAACCCCAATGGTCAATTGGTTAAAAAGCTCCGATAAAAAAAATATATAATAAAATAAAAATTGGTAAAAAAGCAGCAGGCCTATATTTTTTTGGAGTTGACTACACTATCATTTTTTTCCCGATACCATGCCTATGTATTACATTTGTGATTATATTTAATACATTTGCGAGCGTTTTTACTATTATTATCGTACCAAAAAACATTGATAAAAATAATTACCATAACAGTGATATAAAAACATTCAAAAATGTAATATTTTTTTTTTACTGAAAAAAAGTGATAAAAATAATTACCATAAATGTTGTTGGTAATTATATTAAGACTTTTTGGTGTCAAGAAGGTTAACTTGCAAATCATAAAAAAATTAGAATTTCAATCTAAGGGCTAAAGTGTTATAATTGGAACTTAAAAGAGCTAAAAACGTTAATTATGATCTTGGCAACACGGGGTGAAATATGACGGAATTGGGTAGCAAACCCAGGACGGACGTCCCAGCACCCGCCCCCTGCTGGAAGTGGTAGGTCAGTGGTTCGACTCACGTGACAATTCCACATAGATCACACGATGATGATGAACCTTAAATAGCAGCTAAGATTAAATCTCAACATTTACCATGGTACCTCACGACGACTTTTCCATTGACATTCAGATGATTTGAAGATGGATTGAGATAGAATTGACGACTCATATAGCAAACAAGTACGCAATGAAATAATCAGCATTTCTTGAGTGCTCCCCTTCAACATGAATTATGATCTTATTTCCTGGACATTAAGCAAGCAAAGAATATGAAACTAAGAGGGCACCACCAAAACAATCAAGTAGTTAAACTGAGAATCACATCCATGCTAATCATATTGTTGGGAACTAAAGAGTATGCCAAACCAATAAACATTTATTGTGGATATAATTTGCAGCACAAGAAGCAAATTCTATTTTGAAGTAGTCAAATAAAAGAGAGCAAACCCCAATAGATTCCAATCTAAAACTTGTCCTCTTTACAAATCATATCCATGCCAATTGTTTGAATGATATTTAAGAGGTGCAATCCAACTCAGAAGAAAAATCACATGCTGATGAACAGAGAACTTCATCATTCAGCACTGGACTTCACGATGAAATTTTGGCGGCTGATGGGGTTCATGACCACTGGAGGACCAGCAGTGCGAGGCCATGCCTGAAACTTTTTATCGGTCTCTTCCCACCATTCCTTGTTTGCTACAGTATGTGGCGTAGTACCTGACTCCAAGAGCAAGTGATAGTAATAATGTTAAAACACTGCAACATTGGGGAAGAAAGTAAAACAGGAACCAGAACTTGCCTCCAAAAATCTTCTTGTCGGCAATCAAATGGTCACAGGCAAATGCAATTGCAAATGATCCGGCTAAAGAAGCAATTATATACTTGGCTGCCATGATTAAACTGCAGAAACTAAAAGAATAACCCAATGTCATGGGAGAAACAAGTGACAATCCAGAAAAATACACTTCCCAGTTGATCCTAGTTAGAAACAAAAATTCAATTCAGAATAACCTAAGAAAAAAAACAAGGGGAATTTTTTCTACCGGAGACAAGCTGACAACAAACTCAGCAGAGTATCAAATACAATCCAAGTTACAACAGCATCAAACTGATCTGATAAAAAGATAAAATTTCAAGCACATCAATAGAACGTAATTACAGAAATAATTGGCAATCATGTGACCATAATGCTTCATAACATGGGGAATATCATTAAACTAATTACAGGCCATGCCTGTTACTCGAAGACGTCACAGCAATGGGACAATATTCCCCAACTGTACAGACACCAAAGATTGCAGTCCCTCTGCTAAGAGATGTCATCTTGCTGCAGTCCCTCTGCTCAAGACATGTAATCATAAAAGCATGCTAATAATTTACTTACCTTTCAACAACAAAGATATAACAACTAGATTAATCAAAAGGAAGAAAGCAACTACAAAAATATGGTCTCTAGTAACCCCTAATTCCATAACAAGATCACAGAAGCTTGTATTAGTTAGCCTCCATAGGAATTGTGATGTCTTGAACAAGATTCTGGCAAACATTCCAAATTGCCAATGTTCTTGAACAAGGCCGAACAAAAGTGAAGTATCCTAGCCTCCTCCTATGACTATGTAAATCAGAACCTCAAAGAGGAGCCTCTCTCAACTTACTGTATTTAAAGATCCATCAACTGTGAGTTCATCTTTCCCATATAGGCTAGGGCCTTAACCAATGTAAAGGTTAACTCAAGTAATACATAAGAAAAGTCGTATGCATCCACAATAGAAAGAAAATTATTCCTAGCCTATGCATCTGTTCTGCTCTTACCCCCACCACAAAAGTGGAAAGAAAAGGGTAAACAGAAGGCCAAAGCCAGTGGAGCCACTCTCCAAATAATCGCGATAAGCTAGCCTTACTAAACCTAGATTAAAACAAAACAGCTAGGAGTCCTTCCCAATATATTGCCAGTAAAACCACTATCGGCAATAGGCCAGGGCAGCGTTGTGAAAAGTGCGCCTGAGCCCAAGGTAAGGCAAGGAAAGGGGGAGCCCACCAAGGATCAAATTTCGATTCTAAACGGTTGAATCTCGAAATGTATCTGTTTCAAAGAAGATAGAAATGATTGAATACAAATTCAAATGATTCAAGATTTTTTTGAATATTTCAAGGTGTCCCAAGATGTTTTAGCAAAATTCCACCAAATATTTTGGAATGTTTTGAGGTGTTTCAAGATGTTTTGATATATTTTGATTAATGTTTTGAAATATTCTAAAATCTAATATAAATTCTCAAATTTTTTATCCTTTTTCATTATGTTTCCGAAACATTTCAAAAACGTTTCCTTGTCCTTGATCATTGAAACAATTACCAAAACGAAATTTTGATCATTGCACCTAAATGCCTCAATGAGCCTAAGGTCATGAATACACTACCTTTGGTTGGAATATTAGTATCCCCACACAAGATTAAAACTCGAAACATAAATATCTATAACAACAATGACTCACCAATATAATCTAATCAATCGCAATTACAAATCTTTGTTTTGGACAATTGATCTTTGTCTTTTTCTTATTCATCTATATTATTCTCTACCTCTTTTTTTTTTTTTTTTGTCTCTGTCCACATTGCTCTTTCTCTCTTCTCTCTTCAATCTTTTACTCATTTTCCTTTGTGAAACTAACCACAACTATTCTTAAATAAACTTGATTCATCAAAAAATAATTTTTCTAGGTCAATTAGCCCTTAATACTTTGAAATAAGCCTTTGATTCCAAGAAATATGTCTCTTCGTTCTCCTCTTATTCAATTTTTTGTCCGACTCCATTTAGGAATTTTTTGCAACTTTTCGACGAAATATGATGTTTCATTGGTTAAGGATGCTAATAATTCTTAGACACAAATATTTTGCATAACAGTGTTGATACTTAATATAATTTTAAAAAAAATTAATGTTGAAAGCTAATTAATTTATATAGGAATCTTTTTTGGTAATTTGTTCTATATTGTTGAAATTAGCTGAAATAACGTGCTTTTGTTGCATTAAACTTTCTTAAAATTAGTTGTGTAGTATATAAATTTCAACATATTATCAACACGATGTGCCTTGCTTCGATGAAGCCAGGAGACCTTCTTGCCTAACATTTGGCTAAAAGCACGAAGTATCTAGCAGCTATAAATTTGTCCGAAATCTTCACTAGTGAAAGGGAACCTACAGCCAAGGTCCTCTAATTCCATTGTCCCAAAAAATCTAAATAGACTATGCCATTGTCCAAAAAACATTTGCGGACTCAATTTCATGCTCATATGCAATATTTCAGGCAAATTGAAACAAACTTTCAACGCTAAGGCCCTAATATCTACAATATGCGTTGTACGCATATCCCTACATACAATACATGCGCATATCACGCATGCACACAAACGTGAATATATGTACCCACCATTTCATTGGCTTTAATTCAATACACATTTAGTCACATTCAACCACAAAAATTGAAGTGAAATGCTAAAATGAAGCACCGAAACCCTAAATCTCACTAACTAGGGAACATCAAACCCAAACCGTGCCGTTACAGAACAATTACTACGAGATAAAAATGAGAAAATGAACCCAATTAATCAGCAGAAACACAGATCAACGAGGTTATTTGATACAGATTACATTGAAAACAAAAACCCTTAGAATATGACGAAGAAATTCGAAGCAAAATTACAGAATCGAAACCCCAAAAGAGATACAAACAGATCTACGAGAGAGAGAGAGAGAGAGAGAGAGAGAGGACTCGCCTTAACGAGATGAACTTGCACAGAGACGGGAGAGAGATTCTTCCTGAGCTGTGAACAATCAGTCAATCAGATGCAATTTGTAGCTAGGTATGTAAAAGAGACGGGTTGGACTGTTTAGGTCCAAAATATCCGAATCCGAATCGTGCACGGGCTGGGAGGGTTTCCTGCCAAATTCTCGGGGCATAGAAAAATCCGGCCCTAAATCCAAACGGTCGGGCCATTTTTGGAGCTTTTGGAGTTAAATCACTTTATTTTTATATATCCAAAAGGTAATTATATCGGCACTATTAATGGTGTTTTGAAGTAGATAAAAGTTAAAAAAAAAAAAAAATAGATAAAGTTCAAAACTCCAACAAAAAAAAGTAGATAAAAAATTAAATAGATAATTACCTATTTCATCCATAAAATATATTATTTGTGTTAATAAAACCCATAAATTATTTTGTGTTAATTTATTCACTGAACTATGTAATCTAATTTGACGTGACTCTTCTATTTGAATGCGCTATTTATTTTGATGAAAACCTTCATGTGCGCGTAAATATTTTGATATAATTCAAGGGTAATTTAAGTGTTTGGTTGTTTTTATAGTTCTAAACAATTGAAAACAAAACAAAAACTTATTTGGTTGTAACACTTATATTTTTTTGACTAGCTTGTATCTTACACATAGCCTCTCTCTCTCTCTCTCTCTATATATATATATATATATATATATATATATATTTTTTCTTATGTCAACAAAAGTGAAAAACTTTTATTTGACCGAATTACCCTTAACGAAATAATTAATGTCTATCCTATTTTTTCTGTAGTTAGTAACATTATTAAATTATATATAATTGACACACTTATGTGGACCTCTGAGTTGCAATGGACCTTTTGTGTCTTTTATATACCTTTTGATAGCTTATTGATATTGATATGAACTTAATTATGTATAGAGGTAATTAACTCTAATGCAATAGATGGGTCTATCTCTTCGTCTTCTGCCATCATGGTAATTAACTTTAATGCTCATCGTCTACTGCCATAATTTTCTTCCGCTTCACATTCCTCTTCCCAAATTGTCAAGCTCCATTAACAATGATCATAGCCTACCTTGTAAAATCCGAGTTAGTTATGTTCTAAACCACTAAATAGCGTCATCCGTATAGAACAAAGTTTTCTTAAAAGATAATGAAAGAGTTGTTTGATCACCTGCAAGGCCTACAAGGCGGACCGCTCTGAGTCGACATTGAACAGTCACATACATGATCTGAAGTTATATTCCATTGTTATCATCGACTCTCTCACTAGTAGTTGGCTCTCTGAATCATGTTGATTTCTTGGGATACAATGGATCGTCGGAGCACCAAACATTAATATTGAGTCTGGGAAAACATTTTCCCCATTACAAAATTAGGGTCTTACATGATTTGAGTTTTGATATTTTTAGCATCTTTATTTGCTTTATCCTCATTTTTTATGAGCTTGGTTTGGTGTATTCAAAATTTCTATGATCTGACCCGTATTAATTTAGAGCAGCCCATACGATCAGACATGCAGTGAAGATGCAGGGGAGACGATGAGTATGTTGAAGGTGGTGTTTCCCTTGCACTCGCCAAGATTGGTGAGCATGCTTTCAGTTTACTAGAGTTCTCATTGTTTAGATTAGATGCATTTAACTACGATTCTCACTATATTTAATTCAAACACAATTCACACGGGTCTCTCTTAACAACTCTTGTGGTTCATTTTACACAATTACCCTTTATGTTACTCTCTCACACATTATTTGTCTCTGCATTGCCAAGCCAAAGGTATTGATTCAACATATACTACTATTGTATTAACTTTTTTTATTCTTCTATTTCTATAATTGTTTTATATGAGATGTGATCTGCATTAGCACATTGAGCAATGATGAATTGGTGTTACATTGGTTCACCATTCAATTCCCTAATTTCCTCTTTTTATTTCTTTTTTTGTTCTCAATGGGCTGGTGCAATTTTTAATTTTCACCGATATGAAAAATTTAGTGGGTTGAAGGAGTTTGCTAGCTGGGTAATCCACAGTACCAATATATTGCTCGTAATCAGTATGGATTATTTTGATTGTTGGGGATGCTTGAATGCGAATGAGAAAGGGAAAAAGAACAAATTTATCACAACTACAATGGTGCATTAGAAGAGAATTAGTATTTTGCCTTTGGCTACTTTTTGCTTTAGACTCTACTATAATTGCGTCATCTCATTAAAAGAGTTGACATACAACCTGTTCGCTTTTATTATCATTTTCAGGGAAGTGTATATGCACTTCATATCTCTTTGGATTGAATAATGTTATTTTTCTCAAAATTTGAGCTCGGTCTGATGATACACGATTTAGTAATTTAGTCACAAATCAATGAGAATATTATACCTGAGATCACGAGTGATGGATGACTTTGGCGTTTGTACATTATTAAATTCAAGGAGGCAAAAATATTTTTTCCCTATGCTCCTCATGAGGATTTTGGCTTTTGTGTCTATATGAACAATCAAAGTATTGACTGGACTGGCATATAAACACATAAACACACATACATTCTGCATTGATAAGTTTGGATCTACTGGCTGCTGGTGATGTCGTCTTATATTTTGTTATTTATTGATGTTGTCTTTACATTTCTTTGCATATATAAAGGTAGGTCTACTTGCCAAGAGTCATCAAGTATTTTAAGATTGGGATGTATCTATTTGCAATGAATCTAATCGTAAGAATAAGAAAAAAAAATACTTGTTTGTTCCTACTTGAGCTTTCCATTGACAATTC